ACATTACCCCCTCCTTAAAGGACGTCTCCAGATGTCCCAAAAACCCTGTCTCCAAAAACTTGGTTGGGAGGAGGGAGAAAAGAAGATGGAGGACACAAGGGTGCACAAGAGGGAGACCAGGCACACAACACATAAGACACGCAAAAAGTTCAGGCGGGCAGCCGGGAGGTCGTCCACTATGTCGAAGCTGGTCAAGTGGGTGGCCGTCCACCATGACGAAGCCGGTCAGGCGGGCAGCCTGGAGGCCGTCCACCACGATGAAGCCGGTCAGGCAGGCGGCCTGGAGGCCATCCACCACATCCAAGCTGGTCAGGCGGAAGGCCGTTCACCACGTCAAAGCAGGATCGTAGATGCTGTAGAGCACCCAAGTGGCGTTGACCCCTCAAGGCGAGACACGGACCCTGGACGAGACGTAGACCCTTGATGAGGTGAAGAGACCATGGGTGAACCAGCTGGCGTAGGACCCTCGATCGAAGCAGCCACTGGTGTGGGACCCTCGGGAGGTGTGGAACACTCAAGAACTGTAGCAGACTTGAGACCCTCTGCGGCAGGCTCTGGATCTTCTGCGGCAGGCTCAGATCCGGTCATGGAACCCTCAAACGTGGAACCATCTGCAGACTGGGGACCTTCAGGCTGAGGTGTGGAAACCTCAGAGGCTGCAGCAGGCTTGAGACCCTCTGGAGGCTTGAAACCCTCTGGAGACTTTGGACCCAGGAGAGGCTTTGGACCCAAGAGAGGCTTTGGACCCAGGAGAGGCTTTGGACCCAGGAGAGGCTTGGGACCCAGGAGAGGCTTGGGGCCCACTGGAGACTTGGGGCCCAGGAGAGGTTTGGGGCGACATGAGGTGTCAGGATCAACCATTATTGAGATCCCAATAGATGGGGTGTCAGAACCAGTCCCCACAGAGGCAAAGGAAGATGGGGCATTGGGACTAGCCCCCACCGAAGCATAGGAAGGAGGTGGGGCGTCGGGTCCTACCCCCACTGAAGCACTGGAAAATGGGGCGTTGGGTCCTCCCCCAATGAAGCACTTGAGGATGGGGCATCGGGACCAGCCCCAACCGAAACAAAGGAAAGAGGTGGGGCATCGGGTCCTACCCCAACTGAAGCACTAGAGGATGGGGTATATGGACCAGCCCCCACCGAAACAAAGGAAGGAGGTGGGGCATGGGGTCCTACCCCAACTGATGCACTGGAGAATGTGTGAGAGGCAAACTCCTGGACCCTCTCTGAGGCACAAGGAGCAGGTGGTTCATGTGGGTTCTGCGGTGGCACAAAAGAGCTAGAGAGAGATGGGTGTTTAAACTGTTCTTTGAAAGTCCTTATGTTAATGAGTAATTGATAGAACTCTGGGATCTGTGTTATTGCAGGTTGAGACAGTAATAATTCTTCAGCTAGGGAATAAATAGTGCTCTGACAGTTCAGGTTGAGTTTAGCAGATGAAAGTATATTCTGGTGTGTTATTTAAAGCAATAGATTCAAGAGATGACTTATCTGAGAAGGAGGATTGGTCCTGAAGGGATTCAACAGAAGACTCAGTAAGGCACTGAATGGGCTTTCTTTCTGGTTGGCCCCCCTTTGTCTGCTCCATTGACGAGCAGGTGGTCGACTGCTCCTCCCCCTTTGAAATTCTCCCCGGTGCTTTAAGCTGCACAGCGGGAGAGCAGGTTGAAGGCTGGAGCTGGGGATCTGTGGTTCCAACCCATCTTTGCCACTTATTCCTCCTGCAGTGGCGGCATGAGCTGAGGACAGGAGCGCACCAGAGTTCATCCTCCAGCTCAGCGTCATCCTCCGAAGACCACAGCAGGTGCGGCGAGCAGGGTGGAGGATGAAGCTGGTTTAAAAGCCAGGCGGTTCCCCTGGAGCTGAGACCTCATTTCCTCTTCCTCCACTAGAAGAGGTGACGGCAGGATCTCCACCTCAAGGCTGTGGTGACCTCGTCTATGGACTGGTTCAGTACAGAACCCGCCCCACTGGATGACAGGCTCCTCCATCCACGTCTGCTCCCACCGAGTCATCTGAGCTGCTTCTTGGGCTCGGTACTTGGCCCAAGTCATCCACCTGCTGGGTTCTCATTGTGGTCTGGGCATACTGTCGTATTTGGAGGTTTGAAAGGCAGAACCCATGGGTGCAGGCAGGACTCGGAGACTCAGTGGTTAAATAAAGAAATACGAGAGGAAAGAGGACAGAGACGCACCACAAGGAGGCACAGTCACCACAGATAGAGAACTTTACTAATTGGCTTGTATGTATGTGAATGTTCCTGTAAAGTGCCCTGAGACAACTTTGTTGTGATTTGGCACTATAAAAATAAACTGACTTGAACTGAAATTGAATCTCATCATCTTCCACAGTTGCCATTATGCTTGCGCAAGATGGGAGACAGTGATGAAGTGAAGATTCAACACAATCTGCTGCTTCCTTAGATACATTTTACTTTTACAATTTTTCTTTTACAGCTGTATAATGTATGTGAATGTTTCTGTTCAGTGGCCTGAAATGACTTCAGTTGTGACTTGGCATTATATAAATGAACTGAATTGAACTGAATCTTCTCACTCTACTTTTTATGTTTAACATGAAATTATTGCTTCTATTAACCTTTTTTTTCTCATAGAAACTACACCTGGATCTTTCAAACTGCACGTGGACCAATCCTTGTGTGTTTGTCTTGGTCTCGTTCCTGTTCTTCCTAACCACTCAGCCACAGCCGCCCCAATAGTACTAAACAGAAACCTAGAGTTATTCTATTATTATTCTCATCTATTAAAGATGAGTAATATAAAGTTCTAGCTTTACAGAGAGCTGTTTTATATGTTAGCAGACTACTACTCAGCCACAGCCGCCCAACTGAATCAGATTGAATTAGTACATGCCAATGTGAGCCAAACATCTGAAATTTAATGGTGCAAGAACAACTGGACTTCAAAAAAGAGTCCTCGAGGCTCAATGGAATTTACCTGTCTAAATAAAGATTGAATGAAAAAAAAATAGATGTAAAACGTATGTAAAATTATGTTTGACAGTCCAAAAAAATTCAAGTCTTGGCCTCTGGACATTCAAAAAAAAAAAAAAAAAAAAAAAGTAGAAACGTTTTGTCTCTCATCCGAGAGACTTCCTCAGTCTGAGGTGCTGTATTCAGCTTAGTCTTATAAATAGCACCTTCTCAGAGTGGATCAACCAATTTGCTGCTGACAACCAAAACCAGCTGATCACATGCTCAAGAAGGACCATCAGCCTAACAATGGATCATTAGCACACTGATGGCTGTTTGCTATTCACGGAGGCTGAGTGATACTAGCAATCACAGCATTGTAAGAGGGGGACAGTTGAACCCGGAGGCCTCCACCCCTGTTTAATGATGGACGGTTTCTTTTCACAAAGATGGCCTCCTTTACTCCTCTCTCAAACCATCATTCCTCTCTGTCCAGGATGTGAACATCTTCATCCTTGAAAGAGAGACCGCTGGCCTGGAGATGAGTGTAGACCTCAGAGTCCTGGCCTGATGATGTTGATCTTTTGTGCTGGTCCATCCTTTTGGCCAGTGGCTGTTTAGTTTCCCCGATGTAAGACTGATCACCCTCCTGACACTGAACAGCATACACAATATTACTCTGTTTGTTCATTCATTCATTCAACCTTTATTTAAACAGATAAGTCACATTGAGCCTCAAAAACTCATTTACAATTGAGACCTGTTTGGACAGACAATAGAAGTGGTAAACTGGACACATGTAGGAATTGGAGGCGAAGCAATTCCTATCAGACTTTTTTTTTTCCTGCCTGAGAAGAAAAAAACTCTGATATTAAAAAACACCTCATACAAACAAGCACATAGTGATGTAGACATTCTGCAGATGGGGACAACGAGAGCGGTGAGCATGATCATAGATGCTCTCGAGGGCACTGTAAGAGTTCTGATAAAGATGTAATAATCAACCAGTGTCCCCCAGTGAGATCCATAAACATTCTCAAGGTATGTCGAGGAATGGCCAAGAATAACATCTATTAGAATCCAAGAGTCCTGAAATGATGACACAAGTTTATTCAGCTGGCTTCATCTGGTTATCAGTTGGAAATTCCTCAGGGAGGGGGTGGTGAGCATCAGATCACGTTTTCCAGGCAAATTCAGATAAGATGACCTTCAAGGCCAGCCAAGGGAGCCAAATTCAGATAAACACACAGTTGTTTTGGGGACAGGCAGAACTTAATGACATCTAACTTGAGTCTGTGTTGGTCAACTTGGTTCTGAAATGTCCAAATTACATGGCCACACCGATGGAACGTGACTGAGTAAAATCCCTGAGATCTGATCCATTCTGCCCAAAGCATTTTGTGCCGGAGGACTGGATCTTTGGGATAAACCACTTTTTGCCGTAATGTATTTTGGGGTTTAAAAGCCACTGGGAACTCTCCTCTCTACTGATGTTGGAAGGTGGTTGTTTGGCAGTGCTGAGGCAGGCTGAAACTTCGATTCTGAGTTGTTCACACAAGACAGGCTCTAGAGCAATGTGGATATCCTAACTGGGTCTTCCTGAAAGCAGAGAAGAAACCCAAACAGGACTCCAGTCAGCCAACAGGTGAAAAGGAGGAACCCAGACCCAGACCAGTGGTTATTCCATATGTTGAGGGAGTATCAGAGAAACTGAGACGTTTATTTTCTAAACACAACGTCCCAAACTGGTTGATCCACTCTGAGAAGGTGCTATTTATAAGACTGAGCTGAATACAGCTCCTCAGACTGAGGAAGTCTTTTAGATGAAAGACAAAACTTTTCTACTTTTTTTGTTTTTGTTTTGCTTTTTGAATGTCCAGCGAACCAAACTTGAATTTTTTGGATTTTTCTACCTGGATTATTGAGCATGCATCAGGATATGTTTAACAGTTTTTACATTGGCTCCATTCTCATCTTGGATGTTGTCAAGGTATTCATAGTTTGATATGTGTTGAGCTGATAGTTTTAAAATAAAATGTCTTTGTGATGAAAAGTACCATTTGTTAAAGGCGGCACGTTATTTATTCAACCTGCTTTCTGAGCAGTAAGTTCAACAGAAGCATTAAGATCACCAGTTGATGGCTGCAACTGGTCATCAGGGCTTTACTGTCCCTGCTCTCCCACTGTTCACCCTGCTCATCCTCCCACTCTGCCCTTCTCTTTTTTTGTTCATCTTCCTCCTTCTTTCTTCGTGGATCATCATCCTCCTTCACTTTGTTTAGGCTGTCGCAGCTGTCTCCTTCATGACCTTCGTAGCAGTGGCAGCGAAATCTTTCAGTCAGCAGCTGTAGATCAAGCTGCGAGGGCCACCCGTTCACAGTGAAGCCCCCATCTCCCGAGGGATGGATCTGGTAACTGTCAGCACTCAGGTGGAGGTAATGGTGGGCGTGGGGATCACGTCGAACACAGCGACCATTGCCCTGACACAGAAAGTCACTGCAGACTTCAGCAGCCTGGGTCACGTTGGTGATGTATTCACCAAAGCGGTGGTTTAGGAAGGATTTCACCAAAGTGCAGTTGTGCTGTGAAAACAATACAACAGACACAAATCAGTGTGATGCTTGTTGGGAATAAAATAACCTTTGATGATAAATGGAGGAAATCAACATAATATGGATTGGTGAATATAAGGTTTAATTATGAATTTGGAAAATAGATCATATAAAGATGGCTAGAATTTCTGTTAGATGTGGCCTTAAGCCGATAAACAATATCTTTTCAAGAACTGCTAACTTTCAAATCAAACCATGACACTGTCTGCTGTCAGTAGGAGAATAGTTACTTATTTCTAATGAGGCCTTTAACGACAAACAAAACATCAAAAAGGTTCTTGCTCAGGTAACTGAAATTAAATTATAGTTCACATCATTTGAGTGTTGGTGGGGATCAAAAAATAATAATGAGTAAAAGAGTAGCTTAATAGGTCAGAGTGACCCTGGCTCTTAATCAGAGTCAGAGTCAGAGTTTCTTTATTGTCATTCGCACCTCATGTGGTACATGTGGTGGAGCGAAATTATGTTCACAGGGTCCCAGTTACATCCAACAATAAAATGTATAAGAAAAACAGTAATAACATCTAAGATATGAACTAAGAAAAACATCAACTAAATATACACTAAGCACTCATAACATAAAACATTGAACATCAGCACAAACATGAACATGAGTCTGTGAGCAGATGTGCACGCATGAACACATCAACATTGAAACAGATCAGCAGCAACATGAAACAGATCAGCAGCAACATGATATGGTTTTTCACAGTGATTATTCTAGTTAGAGATTCATGAGTCTAACAGCCTCAGGGTAGAAGCTGTTCCTCAGTCTAGTGGTTCTACACTTAATGCTCCTTAACCTCCTTCCTGAGGGGAGTGGGGCAAAAAGTGTGTGTGCTGGGTGAGTG